GTGACATGTTGTTGGTCTACTTTACCAATGATCTTAAAGAACTAGCTGTAGAAAGGAAAGTTCAGATGAAACAGTTACCAGAAGTTGTGAGATATTACCATTTGATTCCTAGAAGGGTATAAGCCCTTCCCTAAGCCACATAAGCTTGATACTGTGGCTCAGGTCAGAGGATGGATGGCTCCCATGGAACCAAAGAATAGTCTTTTTCAGCAAAGCTCACGACTTCATGATCGAAGCATATAGAATGATATTTTGTAGAACAAGGAGAAAAGAGAAGCCTGCCTAACTTGATAGCCCACCAAGGAAACACTGGCAGCTCCAAGGTGGCAATAGATACCAATCCAATCATGCAATCAAAAGAGTAGGAATAAATTCCTAAAGTTTGTGATATTTCTGTCTTTAGGTGATTCAGGATAAAGTTTGTGATATTTCTGTCTTTAGGTGATTCAGGATATGGAGACTAAGGCTGTTAAGATGTTCTTTAGACAGGGTTACTCAGCATAAGTCTCATAGTAAGTTCCTACAGTAACTACAGTCCCATGAAATACAGAAAAGTCAGCTCAGAAGGCATAGTTCAATGACGCAGTGTAAGAAGTGAAGCATGGAAATTTGGTGCCAATTTAAGATTACATGGTTCTGGGGTTTAATGGTGAGCTGTCTCTTTTGGGATCATGGCAGGCCTTTTAAGACAATGCACCCTTTTCATGGAACAGAATACAGGATGATCTTTTATGAGATCTTTTATGAGCCTCCATGAGGGTTAAACCACTCATAAGGGAGGAGGAGTTCCACTCCAGGGCAGTGCCCTAGAAAGGGGCAATAAAAATGATGATAGTTAACATTTATTGACCACTTATGGGCACTTTGCCAAACACTTGTAAGCATTATTTCATGAAATCCTTCCAACAGCTGTGTAAATAAGTGCCATTATTATCCAAGTTTTATATGTAAAGGAAGTGAGTTTTGAAGTGAGGTTTAAAGGGATTGGTAAATCGACTGAGGTTGCACAGCGGTTAAGTAATAGATCAGATGATGCCAAAGACAACTCAGGACAGATGGACGGGCAGTAAGTCCAGTACACCTCCTCTCTTTTGGGGTTGAGCATTTGGGTCAGTGTCTCCTTCTCACAATTGATGTGTATATTTTAATTTGCTGTTATAATAAGCTTGAGGGATACCACGTATAGAAAATTGGTGAAATCTGTCTCCGATCCAAGCATCCTGGAGAAATCCTGATGACAAGCCTGTTCAATTGGATCTTGCCAGGAAACAGAGTCAAGGGGAGGAAGGTGGCAGGGGATGTGACATTTGTGTCACATACTCCCCTTCTTCTTGTTTGAAATTAACTCATTTCTATTTGTATTTTTCCACCTAACCACCATGTAATAGATAGTTATTACTCCAGGCCCTAAGGAAGTAAGAATGTTAAACACAGCAAAGACCCTGCCCTCTTAGAGCGTGTATTTTCTTGGGGAAAGAAAGAAAATAAACAACTAAATAAACAAGTAGAGAGTTAAATAAACAAGTAAAGAGTTAAATGAAACAAGTTGATGTGAGAGAAAGTAACTAAAGCCTTACTTTAGTTGGAGTTGTCTGGGAAGACTCACTAAGGAGGTGATATTTATGCTGTCAGGACCTGAGTGACCAGAAATCACAGCCAGGGAAGGAGCGTGACCCATGACTGGAAGAGAGAATAACCAGGTAAAGGACCTGCAATGGGTCCCAGGCTGACTTGTTCCAGGAGCAGAGAAAAGACAACAGGCTAGGACACAGCACACAAGGGGAAGTGCCACAAGGTACTTGGAATACATGGAGCTTCCAATACCTGTTAGATACCCGAGAGGAGGTGTCAAACTGGCAAGTGCTTCTCAAACTTTAATAAACATATGAGTCCTGCAAGGATCTTGTTAAAAATGCAGATGGTGATGCAGTCAGTCTGGAGTGGAGCCCCAGATTCTGCTTTTCCCAAAAGCTCCCAGGTGATGACAAACCTGCTGGCCACGGAACACATTTGGATGAGGGGGCGGGGTGTAAGCAATTTTGCACTTGTGAGTCTCTAGTTAAACACAATAGAGAGAAGAAGGAGACCAAACAATGAAAGAGATGGTAGGACCTGGGACCAAGGATGTAGTAGGACCCAGGGGAGAGCAGGGCCACAGAAATCAAGAAGTGCTTCAAGAGGGGAGAATGTGTGGAACACAGGTGTAAAGGTCGCATGAGGACCAGGAAGTGGACTTAGATTTAGCACATAACAGCCCCTGGAAAACTGTTACTGAGTAAGTTAACTTCCTTCTTTTTAAATTGAAGTATAGTTGATTTACAATATTGTTAGTTTCTGGTGTACAGCAAAGTGATTCAGTCATACGTATATATGTATATATCCATATTCTTTTTTTTCTATTCTTTCCCATTATAGGTTATTGTAAGACATTGAATATAGTTCCCTGTGCTATACAGTAAATCTTTGTTGCTTATTTATTTTACATATGGTAGTGTACATCTGTTAATCCCAAACTCCTAATTTATCCCCCCACACACACCTTTCCCCTTTGGTAACCATAAGTTTGTTTTCTATGTCTGTGAGTCTGTTTCTGTTTTTGTAAATAAGTTCATCTGTACTATTTTTTAGAGTACGTTAACCTCTAATACTGCTCTGGGTGGGTTTCACACATTACCATTCTTCTCAAGCCCTCACTCCACCCCCAGTTGTAATGCTCGCAGATCTCACTTCCTACCTTCCTGAAAAATATAGAGACCAATTAGCAAGATGGACTACTTTCCCCTTAAAACCTACACCTCTCACGTTTGAAACTTTTTCTATTTCCATCCATTCCTCCAGTTTCAGAGAACTTGGATACATCTCCTTCCTGAGAGGTGTGAGCTCTTCTGCCTTCAATTCTCCCACCCTGTCTCACCAGGATACGTGCTCCTACAGGGTTCTCTTTCCCCACCACCGCACGGATCCACTCAAGGTCACCCATAACCTTGGCTTGTGTATCCTAATGGTCTTTTCCGCACCTAAGTGGTTAAGGGAGGGGCACATGATGATGTTCTGCCCAGTGAAACAGGAGAGGAAGTTTGGGATGGGGTGGGGGAAACGCTCTTCATTGATTAAAAACAGGCATTCCAGAAGAAAAAGCCTTCAGCAGAGGCTGAGCCCTGTGGGAAGGGTGAAGCCCAGAAGTGCTACAACCATCTTGCAACTCCCAGGTGCAGGAGCCCGAAGGTGCCAACAGGGAAATGGGCAGAAACTCTTATCTTGTAACATAATTGAGTCACGAAGCTAAATGATGGTGGAAAAGCAATATTTCTGAGAAAACTGTTGCTGCTTAAGCCCATGGAGTTGAGGTTTTCTATTGCCTGCAGTTTAAAGCAGCCTAACTGGTGCTTCTACCAGAGCAGGAGATGCCTTCCACTGGAGCTGCTCACAGGCAGGACGTAAATACAGTTTCTCAACGCTCTCTTTCTCTCCCTCCCTCTCTCCCCACCGTCTCCTCCTCCTTCCATCCTGCATCCCTCCTCCCTGCCTTCCTCCCTAGGCCCCCCTTTCCTCCCGAGCTCTATACCTCCAAAACTATTCCGTTTTAACTTTTAGACCTGCCCCACACAAGCATAAAACTTCTATCTTCTAGTCCACAAAAGCACTTTGCAAACGATTATGGGTATTCACAGCAATTCTTCACATGCCTATTTAATACAGATTTCTGGAGGGTTCCCAGGCCTTATTTTATCTCTCCTTTACTGCTGTGATAGGGATATTGGTGGCTTACGTATTCAATGCTAAGTAATCTGTCACTTGCGTGTCTGGAGTTCATGCACATAAATAGAAATGAATAGCCATATAAGTGTAGCTAAAAGGGTATTTATTAAATGTTATAGTGATCAGAATAAATAACATAAAAGGGCATTCTGAATTTTCTCAGCAAGTCATAGGTAATTTCCATTTCTTTGCTTTATGAATTTCATGAATCCAGAATTTAGAAAATTTCTACGTTTTACAGTAGCCTTAAAGGGCAGATGTCCTAAAAGTTTACTTCTATATGTATTTCATAATTGCTTTGCCATTCCTAAGCTTTCACCCAGGGCAAACCCTGGTGTGGGTTTATGTGTGGGTGGGTTGTTTGGGTAGGTCCTACAACAATTCCAAAGTTTCCCAGTTAGTGGAAACATAGCTTTGAGGGGATTCTGCCTATGGACTTCAGGCAGCTTTATTGATAATGTGATTTTTTTCCCCCAAAACCAGAAAAGAAACTCTCTTTAAGTTAGCAGAAGGGTTTAGACGGTTTGGGTGGAGAAAGGATAACAGAAACCTAAAACACAAACTTTTCCTGTGATGCGTGTGATTAGGAATCTTCCAGGTGTTCTGGGATATGAACTGGTAGACTGATGTGTGTGCCATGTAAGTGTGTGCTAGGCTGCACCTGGGGTTCTCACGACTTGCTCTGCCTTTTGGAGAGTCCGTGGTTTTTATTTCTAAACAACAAAGTCTTGCCTTTCACTGTTTCTATAAGCAGTTTGCATCAACTGATGCTTTGCCGAACATCTCAAAACTAAGAATTCCACAGTTGCATAAGAGAGAGGAAAAGTCAGTCTCCTCAGAAGATGGGTAGGTATCCTGCTGTGCACACTAGGGCACGTGTCCCACTCCTGCCCCCGGGTGCAGTGTCATGTTCTTCCTGAAAAGAGACGATGTAAGAGATCCACAAAGAGCTGCAATTTTGCTTGCTCTCTGCACTGACCCTGCCCCAGCACTAACCCAAATGCAAGGAGTCATTCAGTTCTGATGACAAGCTCCTGCTCTGTCACCCATCATGACCTGAGCGTTAGCCTTATCCGTAGGAACTTAGTTTTTGTCAATTTCCAATATGCTTCCCTTGTGATCCTTTTCTTATGATTGTGTATCTTTAAAGTTAATGTAGGTATAATCAGGACTTCTCTTATTTTCTTGAATTTATTTCTGTGGTTTTGATGAATATTTAACAGAAAGCTCACAATGCTCACTTTCATATTTCAAATTCTATTCAAATTTATTCAAAGATAAGATCACCCAGTATCATTGGAGAAGTCTACATAAATAATAAAACTGACGATTCAGATCCACATGGAATAATACTGTCCCCATATGATCTGCATAGGTTACAGAAATGTTTCTTTCTTAACATAGCCGTCCTGTGCCTCTTCTCAACTTTGATATATTAATTTTTGCTATTTCTGGCAATGCTATTACAAAAGATAAAATTTCAGCCACTTCAACATTAAAAATAACCATAAAAAGTCAACCCCAAACAGATGTGATTTAATCAAAGTGAATCAATGGAAAGGTTGTTTTTTTTCATGAATTTTAATAACTGCCTTAATATTCTTAGGATCACAGTGACATTTCTTGGACAATTTGGAAGTGAGCTGAAAATGATAAAAGTACATGTATCACTCTATTCTCATCACTGCAACTTAGACATTGGGATGAAAGTTGTACCCCTTATTTCTCAATAGCCGAGTAACACGCTCCTGGTTTTCACTACAGCTGATGAGAGGGAAAGCAAGGTAAACTGGATGCATGTGACAAACATGGAAGGTAATATGTTTCCAGGGTGTGGCAACTTGTCACTGACCACAGCCTCTTGGAACAAGATAAAGCCACTGAAATAATTAACAGATGTTAGCATACTTGAAATATAAAAGTTCTATCGCTAAAAATTATGTAGGGTCAGATGGAGATTTGGCACTTGGTCCATAATTTAACTGACTTGGAAAATGGGAAGTTGAGATCCAGAGGCACATAACGTATAATATGGAGGCCACACACTTTGCACACCATGCAGGAGCTCATAAACTACTGATGATATGTACGCTGTGCTAAGCCAGCTTGATTAAGTATTAACACAGTTTTTGATACTTAGGGAAATCTGAAGTCAATTTTCACGTCAACTAAATTAAAAAGTTATTTCTATAAGAGCAAAAGAGTAGACTTTTCTCCAAGTTCAAAGCATGTCCACACATTTTATTATTTAGCCCCGGCTTGCAATTCACCTGATGACTGGTGTATCTTCCGGTCAATTTTTGTAATCTATCCAGCCTACTCTTTTTCAAAGTATCTCTTTTTTTCCCCCACTCTTGTCTATTACTTCACATTTCAGAACAAGTTGGCAGTAATGATTTTCAGATGAGTATCTGTAGCTGAAATGGAGCTTCTCAGCCTTAACTCACAAATGCATTCAAGTCAAGCGTTGAATGAGGCTTGTGCTACTTTAGAGTTTGTAGTTTTATTCACAGCTTTGCAGATGAAGTCACCAGCTTCCATCACTTTGTAAAGATTCACACCCTGGTGAGACAAAGATGACAGTGATACCAGGTGGGAAAGGGGGTTAAGGAGAAAGAAGACAAAACAGATTCCTTTTAATTGTATTAGTAGTTACTTAACCATTTAAAATTACTAAACAAAATGCTGTTCATTATTGATGGGGGGGTGGCATTTATCTCCATGAATTATGTAGCTTTAGATTTTTCTGCTTTATTAAAACATATCTTGAATCTGACCCTAGTATAAAACCATAGGCTAGTCACACCTGAATAGCTCAGTGTAATTCATGCTGATATCTAAACTCTACAAAGGACAACAGTGGAACCAGAAAGACTCTACAAAATATCAGTGAAGGGCAATTAAAATGATAATCATTTGGAGGAGTTCAAAGATAAGGACTTAGGGGAAAAAAAAAACCCTCTTAGTGTATCTTAGGATATGAAGAAACAAACCTGATAAAGCTGTAAGAAATATGGGAAAGATGAATGTATAATTTTTAACCATGTTCAGAAACACTCTTACTGGCATGAAATTGAAGGAGGTAGTCCAATAAAATGAAGTAGTATTTAGTACACATCTGGAACTTGTTTGCCTGAGAGGCTGTACTGTTTGAAAGCATAAGTAGGATCAACAAAGGCTTTGGTAAATCCATGGATGACAGATCGACAGTTGAGTATGAAGGCCAAGTTCAAGGCAGGCTCGGCATCTTGGGCTTGGTGGAGCCAAAGATCACCATCGAGGTTTCCACCCTGCACCTGTGCTGTCACTGTGGGGGGGTGGGGGGGTGGGGGGTGGAACGGGGGCACAGTGTTAGGTGGATTAACCAGAGATTTGCCCCATGTAATATTTTGTAAGCTCCTATGTCCTCCCTCAACTCAGACTAGAAACAACAGGGACTTAAAATCAAACAGACTCAGGCTCCCTTGCTATTAAGGAGTAGTTTTTAAAATTTATGTAAGTTTGTCGTTTTCATAAAACAGACAAGTATAAATACTCATAGGGGCTTTTCATACAAGTGATCAAAAAGAGATCATCATTTTAATATAGGTAGTTACTTCTCTCTAGAAACTTTTAGGGCACTGTTTTGTTTGTAGTTTACTTCTGTTTAAAAATCATCAAAGGGCTTCCCTGGTGGTGCAGTGGTTGAGAGTCCACCTGCCGATGCAGGGGATACGGGTTCGTGCCCCGGTACGGGAGGATCCCACATGCCGCGGAGCAGCTAGGCCCGTGAGCCATGGCCGCTGAGCCTGCGCGTCCGGAGCCTGTGCTCCACAACGGGAGAGGCCACAACAGTGAGAGGCCCATGTACCGCAAAAAAAAAAAAAAAAATCATCAAAAATATTTTGTAAAATGACAGGTAAGTAATTTTCACTGTTTCTTTTTATTATGAAGTTGTTTTTAGGGTACTAACATGTGCTTTGGTTTTGTCATAGTAATGGTTTTGGGTGGAGTATCTGTTAGGCACATTTTGGTTTTACATCCTTAATCTAGTAATATGTAAATTTTGTAAATAATAAGCTACATGTGTGTCTTTCATTTCTGAATTACATCTAACAAAAGATAATAAGATTTTAGTCACCAGCATTCTTCTTTGCTTTCCAGTACCATTTATAGCAATTACGCAGTGGGATTGGTTGGTATCGTACTAAAGGATTCTGTTTCGGCCTTCCTCTACCGTTTTATTTAATGAACAGATACCTTTATGAAATAATGTTGCATTTATTCTTAAATCTTTTAGCACTTAAACCAGGTGTTTAAATACGTCTCATGTACTATGATCCATTTTGGGGTTTCAAGAACTTCTCGAAGAATATGGTTTCTGTCTTGAGGGTGCCTGTGGTCAAGCAGGCAATATGGAGCCCTAAACAGGAAATCCAGTACTTCCACTAAAGTCACTGAGGGAGAGAGATGCTCGGATGATCATGAGGGCAGAGCTGCAGGGTAGTCAACCCACTGAGGAAAAGGGTATGGAAACAAATGGAGGGGAGTGTGTCAGGGAAGGGTGCCAGGAAAGTAAATCCTAACCTGAGGTTTGTACGGACAGTATGAGTCCTTGAGAAGAAGTAAGAGGAATGAGGCACTGTCAGCAGAGAAGAGTACGAGACATCTGAAAAATACCATGGGATACATGGAAAGTAATGGGCCGACGTGACTGGAAAAGGGATAAAAGGTGTAGAACACAGCCTTGCTTTTCAGAAAATGGGAATCCACTGATGAGTACCCAAGTGGGAGCAAGGGATATTCATATTTGTATTTTAGAGAAAATCTTTTATGGTAGCAAGGAGGATGAATTTAAAGGCACTCTGGAGCCAGCAGACCAGTGTGGAGGATGAATATCCAGGAAAGAGATAAGAACTTGTGCTGATGTAGCTACAGCAAGGATAGTAAGGAAGGAACAAACAACCAAAATACTTTAGAAGTTGAAGCAGTAGCTCTTGGTAGTTGACTAGGCATGGGAGACATAGTGATACATGTTGTACAGAGAATCTTGTCTTGTTGGCTGATATCCAATGTAACAACTGTCCTTGAACTGTGAAATTCTTAGGAATGGAGACATGGCTTATTTGCATTTGGACCCGCATGGCCTGACACATATGAAGCAGAGTTCATATGTTGACTCAGCTGAGTTCAACCAAATCATTTAAATCTTCAAGAAAGGATTTCTATGAATTGGGAGTTTGGGATCAGCAGATGCAAACTATTATATACCGGGCAGATGAAACAACAAGGCCCTACTGTATAGCACAGGGAAATGTATTCAATATCCTGTGATAAACCATAATGGAAAAGAATATTAAAAAGAATATATATAGGGCTTCCCTGGTGGCGCAGTGGTTGAGAGTCCGCCTGCCGATGCAGGGGAGACGGGTTCGTGCCCCCGTACAGGAAGATACCACATGCCGCGGAGTGGCTGGGCCCGTGAGCCATGGCCGCTGAGCCTGCGCGTCCGGAGTCTGTGCTCCGTAACGGGAGAGGCCACAATAGTGAGAGGCCTGCGTACCGCAAACAAACAAACAAAACCCAGCTGTATAAGGTGCTATCTGCCAGGTGACCATATTCAATACTTTAATAAATTATCCAAAAGTCCAGTGTTTCATTAAATCTATTTAAAAAGAAAAAAAAAAGAATATATATATATATATATATATATATATAAAACTGAATCACTTTGCTTTACAGTAGAAATTAACACAACATTGCAGGTCAACTATACTTCAATAAAATAAATTTTAAGAAAAGAAAGGATTTCTACTTCTGTCACGGTCATACATTTCTAATGGAAATGATGGAAAAAATCAGGCTACTTTGTAATAGCTATTTCTAACCAGAGAAGAGAGGCTCCTGGTGTTTAGTGCCAAGCGGTATCAGTCCTTCACTGAACATTATTGAGGGTCTCTAGGCAACAGGCACCTGTGAATCAGCTGTCATACTATATTTCTGCCTGCAGGGGGACCTAGACACAGAAAGAAGATGGTTCTACAACCTTGTGGTAGGTTCAGAGGAAGACACAAAGGTAGCCTGGAAACACGGAGGAGAGGAACCCAGCAGTGTGGGCCTCGGAAATCAGCAGGGAAATGCTAGAAGGTGCGTTTTTGAGGATGGTGGTGCCTCATTTTCCAGGTGAAATCGAGTATGGGCAGTAAGGCTGTTCCAAGGGGTGGTGAAAGCAGGAGCAAGGGGTGGAGGTGAGAAACCGAATGCGCAGGGAAGGAGACTGCAGACAAGCTGGCTGCTGCAGGAGCATTGCTCAGTAGAACGAGGGAAGAGGAGAGAGAGGAGAGATGGAGAGGACAATTCCATTCTGCAATCCAGGTGATGCTTTACATCTCAGAAAACATTTTGAACTTCTGATAATCTGTGAACAGTTTTTTGCCTTTTATGTTTTATCCTTAAAAAAAAGAAAATCTGCCTTAGAGACTGGTAGGCCGTCTTAACAAGCATGTGGCAAAACAAGGTACTAATTTTGGTGGGTTATTATAGAGCATGTGACTTTTTCAGGTAGCACTTGTAAAGAGAGTATTCTTGCTCACATGCTAAGTATTATTAAGCTCTGGTCCTACACTGGCCATTTTAAAAGTGCCCTGGGCTCTCTTTCAGAAGCCCTACTTGTCACCATGAGAAAATCAAGATCTTAGTTTTCCTCCAAGGAAAACAAAACAGCAAAAACAATAATCATAGCAAAGACAGGCTCAGATTTGCAAAGTGTGTGAAATCAAACTGGATACTAGATGAAAAAGGACTTTGGAGGTCATGAAGCACCATAAAAATGTGAAATGGTAGCATTATTGGTGATCTAACTATAGCAATAAGTTACTTTATAAAGCCCGCCCCAAGAATTTTTTATTGTATTTTCCCACTATGCATTTTAGCAAAGAGCAAAAGTGTAGTAAAACTTGAACTCAAAGTTGCTTCCCAAATCCAAGAAGCATTCCAATTTGAATCTGCAAGGAATGTATGAATATTAAAATATGCTAAATTTACTTACTGTCTTGACCCCCAGGCCATTAAGCATGTAGATCAAATCCTCAGTGGCTACGTTCCCAGAAGCACCTTTTGCATAAGGGCAACCACCTAATCCGGATACTGCAGAATCCACCACATTAATCCCCATCTGGAAAACAAACCCAAACACCCAAGGTTTGTCTCTTTATGGCATGTAAATTGTTGTATCTCTATTTAACCTGTTCCAAAGAGCAAATAAGGAAAATCTGAACCATGATTCCAACCTGTTCACTTACCCACCTGCTGCTAGAACAGTCCCCGAGGTGCTAATTTCTTTTCTGACTAATCTCATCTTTTAGGCTAACAGACACTCTGCTAAGGATCTCGGGAATGAGAATAATCTTAGATCAAAATTGAAATGGTGTTTTCATTGATAACAGAACAAAGGTAGGGGACGAAGACTGAAGTAAGATAAATACACACATGGGGTGTATTTTCCAACCTAATTTTGAGCTTTAGTCTAAAAACCTTATATAACCAACAGGAAAGATTTCCAACATCCTGACTCAAAATCAAGGTGCCTTCGAAGACAGATGGGGGGGTGGGGGGGGTGGAGAGCTGTCCTTATGTTTGAACTTGTATTTTGTGGGCTCAACGTATTCACTCAATTCATCCAATTTTTATTGAGCCATTACTTTATTTTGTGCACAAAACCCTGCTGTTTTGGGAGAAGTGAAGAGACATTTGAGAGGCAGGACATCCACCACTAACAATTGTAACAGCTCACATTTACTGGGTCCTCACTAAGTGCTGGATATTATTATTAATACCTCATGATACTAACTCACAATTCCCACACAAACCCAGGAGGTAGATACTCTTCCATCATCCCCAAATCACAGATGAAGAAACTCAAGTACAGAGGGATCACACATTTTGCCCAAGGTCACCTGTGTCTCCAGAGAATTCACATTCTGCTGTGATTTGTGGCCTCTGGAAACATGCAAGTTGGTTCATGTTATGAGTCTGGGGATATCCAAGGTGGAGATCTCTGTGGACTGGAAAAGTTGTGAAAGACGTGAGCACAAAAGGGTCTGAAAGGGACCCTGGGAATCAGATTTGAATAACATAAGAAGAGAGGCAAGCAGAGCAGCCCTCTCTGGAAAGGGACAATTGGGAAATCAGAAGCCATTAAGAGGCTAATCTGACTCTTCACTCCTGGACATTGAAGAAGAAGTAACATGACCTCATCTAAAATGAGAAGTGCTGGGAAACAGAGCCCTTGGCCAATCTGCTAGATCAGCAGTTCTCAGTCACAGAAGCAGAATCACAAATGGCTGTTACATCCCCAGAGTTTCTGATTCTGGAGGTCTGGGCTGGGCCCTGAGAATTTGAATTTTTAACAAGATCCCAGATGCTGTTCTCACTGCTGCTCTGAGGAATCACACTTTCTTTCTTTTTCCTTTACTTTTTTGATAAACTTTTTATTTTAGAATAGTTTTAAATTTTCAGAAAATTTGGGAAGAAAGTACACAGCATTTCCATACATTACACACAATTTCCCCTATTGTTCACATCTTACATCATTATGGTATATTTGTCACAACTAACGAACACATATAATATGTTATTATTAACTAAAGTCCACACATGATTCAGATTTCCTTAGTTTAGAAGCTAATGTCCTTTTCCTTTCCAGGAACTCATCCGGGTAGCACATTACATGTAGTTGTCTTATCTCCTGCTGTGGCTGTGACACCTTCTCAGACATTCTTTGTCCTCATTGACCTTGACAATTTCGAATTGTTACTTGTCATGTGTTTTGCACAATGTCTTTCAAGGTGGGTATGTCTGATGTTTTCTCGTGGTTAGACTGGAGTCCTGAAGTTTTGTGAGGAGAGCAACACAGGGGAAGTGCCAGTCTTAACACATCGTATCAAGGGTGCGTACTATATGGTTTACAACTGATGATGTTCACCTTGACCCCATGCCCCCTTTTCCATATGGCACTTTTTGGAAAAAAGTCACTATGTGCACACCTAAGGAGTGGAGAATACCTACCTAAATTATTTAGAAATTTCCCATATGAGAGATTTGTCTATTCTCCCATATTTATTTATTTCTTCAAATATTTGTTTATATCACTAGAGACTCATGGGTATTTATTTAGTACTTTGGGTTGTAATCCAATATTCCTTTATACGTCTTGTCACTCATGTTGTTTGAGATTTAGCTGTTGGGAGCTCTTCAGGTGGCTCCTATCTCCTTTGACATGCCAAGGGGGCTGAACATTTTTTTAATTGAAGTATAGTTGATTTACAATGTCATGTTAATTTCTGCTATACAGCAAAGTGATTCAGTTTCATATATATGTATATATATGTATATATATATATATATATATATATATATATATACACACACACACACACACATTCTTTTTTATGTTCTTTTCCATTATGGTTCAAGGGGCTGCACAATTTTACTGTTCTGAATTTTCTCTGGTGAGAACTAGAATGTTTACCAAAGCTCCCAAGGGCAGAACCATAGTCCAAAAGCCATAGATGCCTTTGGGACTAATGCAAAGTTTACAGATATAATTGGTTTGCTTCTGTACCTCCATTTCTCCTCATTGTACTACTCAACATGGGAAGGTGGCAATGGCTCTTCTTCCTTTATCACGACCTCTCTCAAAGCTCAATCATGTTTGGGTGTTAATAACTGACCAGCTAAAGTACTGGTCCATTTAGGACAGTCTACATTTGCAGTGAATCAAAATAGTAAGTTTAAAGAATTATGCTCTAGGAGTGAAATCTGTGGAATTGTCCAGTAGTTGGAAAAGACAAAGGTTCAGACACTGAGCTCATCTCTGGAAGTCTGCCAGGACATCAAATAGGCAGAGGCATTCTTCACCTATAGGTTAATATTTATCTATTCAGTAGAATTGAATCTATCACTCCAGGAGAAAGAGGTTTCAGTGGTTCTCAATCCTTACCAATTATAATCACCTGGGGACCTTTTAAAACTAACAGCCAAGTTTCTCCCCAGAATCTTTGTCTGGGAATGGGGTCAAGCATTGGTATCTCTTTAAAGCTCCCTCCGGTGATCTCTTCCCTCTGGTGATCTCTTGTGTAATTAAGTGTGGGAACCCCTGAGGTAAGGTTCTCATCCCTCTCCGACTTTATCAACTGTGGGTATGAGTGAGCTTTCATTTAGAGATGCTCTGTACCCTGAGGCAGCAAAGAGTTAATCAGGACAGATCAACTTTTCAAGAAAACCTGTTTTTGAAAGAACACCCCAAAAAGTATGAGGCAGTGAATGTCAGCAGTACCAGCGTGAGAGGTGAAAGATGGCTTCAGTCTACCACGAGGGCTTATGATTTTCTGTATGTGCATTAGACTTTGATAAACATCAATGACAAAAAGGAGGTGGTGTTGGAACTGAAGGTAAACAAGAAAACTTAAACTGGTAGGAAAATAACCTGGAACATTTTTTCTGTTGAGCAATTAACTAGTAATTAGTCTTAATTGCCAATATCCATTATCCTAGAAATTTCTATCAAAAAAGTACTTCCTAGGAATATTTCACAAATTCTAAGTAAATAATTAGGTAAGAAATAAAAACAAATAGATATATATGGGTGAGTGTATGTGTGTCACACATGAAACACACCCCTTATATATAGATTCATTACAGTATGTTTTATATGAATAAAAATTTGAAAACCAGCCAAATGTCTGTAATGGGGACTAATTTAAATTAATTAAGGTGTAGCTGTAAAATGGAATGATAAATGCTACGTAAATGCATAGTTAAGGGAAAGAAACAGATTACAGGACATTATAATGGTGTATGGAACCATAATCCCATTTTCTAAAAAAAAAAAAGGTAGAATTTGGATGATATACCAAAATGCCAACAGCAGTGATCACTGGGTGTGTGACCCTAGGTAATTTATTTTATTTTAATTCTGTTTGTCTTGTTTTCTAATGGCCCCACAATGAATGTAATTACAAATATAATTAGAAAAAGAAAAAGAAAGGTTTCTACAAACTGTAGCCTGTCGTAGAATGACAGTAAATAAATGAAAATGAGAATAAATAAACCTACGACTGAGTTTATTGACCAACAGTTTATTTTGCAACTAACTGATCTTTCTAGGATTTAAGTGTGCAGGGCTAATCTGTGTGCATAATTTCGTAAAGGCAGATGTGATCTGGGTGAAAGCCTCCCTGGAAAATGGTCCTTCCCTCTTTCCTACCATCACATTTGCTCTGGAACAGATTATATTTCTGTGAGTGCTAGTCACAAATCAATTGAATCAATTCTAAGAGCAGTATGTGGATTTAAAATTTCAATAAGCAAATTTAAAGAGAGTTTATTAAAGTATACCTTAGCTGTGAAGGAGAATATTAAGATATGTGTTCCTATTAAAGTCTCTTTTCAAAAAAAAAATCACAGTACTTTAAAAATAGAACTTTCTACATAATATCCTCTCAATTCTGTCCTCTATCAAATGTGCAATTCTGTTCCCCAGAAATACATATCTTCTCAATGGATAGTGTTACCCATACACTAAGTTAGATAATGTTATTTTGGAACAAGCTGCTTTGTAAATTTCTAGTCATAGTCATCTAAGAAAATTTGATTTCACTGTGTATGTTTTCTTTACCTCGACTTCCCTATTCCATTAGAAACGGTGCATATTATGATGTAAACAAGTTCTTAACAGAGCAGGAAGAAAAACATTATTTCTTCTCTGTTGCTTATGGTAAATAGAGGAAACATGTTTTTACTTTGCTACTGAAATCATAGTATTATAGAAAATGCATTGCTATAATATCCTCATGTATTTGATAATAGTAGATGGGTTGCATAGCTTATTTTATCATGCAAGAGACTGCATTAAAAGATTAGTCTTAGATATTTCCTTTCCCATGTCTCCAAATCTAAAACACTGCTTTTCAGATGGTCAGATTCCTGGCGTCTGTGTGTGTGTGTGTGTGTGTGTAAACACACAAGCACAAATGGTTTTCTGCACCATACAGTATGTTGCAAAACAAAGCATTTGGGTTTTGTTTTGAAGGAACTATCTTCAGATTAATAACCACAAGATGGCGATGTAACACCAAAATCCACCAAGTTAAAGTCGAGCATTGAACTGCCACT